CGTGCTGAACGATCTTCAAGGATCGAAAATATAACATCATTGATTAAATGTACGGGGAGACTTTAAAGCAGGCAACATATCCTTAGGGTGATTCAACATTATTCAAGTAGGAATATTGGAACCACCCAACTAGAAAATGCCGAAAAGTTGAAACTAAAAATACCACAAGCACAACAATAATGTCGTGCTGAACGATTTTTAAAGATCGAAAATATAACATCATTGATTAAATGTACGGGGAGACTTTTACAGCCGCCACACGGCACAAATAACACGGATGTGACCATAAAATAGATAATAACAGAATCCCTAAAGAAAGCCCAACACGACATAATTGAAAATGTTGCAGGCTCGGTTTGATTGAGCAAGTTCATGGACGGTACTTGAAAGTGCAAGTTACCGCCCACGCCCCCTAGCACCGGCATAAGCAGAATTCAACATTTTAACATGAAATAGTAAATTTTTGAATTTATAAACATCCGCATATGTGTTCATACGGCGTTATCATGGAACCTTAAATGTGACACTTCCGTGCCATTCCATGAAAAGCGGCGTATGGTCCCCAAGTAATAAAAAGCGTGTGCCCTAAACGAGAAAACAATGGCGAAACTAATTAAAATGGAATTTGAAAGGGGGTCAGAGGTCATGAAGCCTGCATATCACAGATAAGACGTCAAAAGACAAATCTAAAAAGCAGGCAACATATCCTTTGGGTGATAAAGTCAAGCTTGAAATATAGCTAGAATTTTAGATTTCTCCCTTCGACCTGACTTGAAATTCGATTCAGACTAAAATTAAAATTAAAACAAAAATGAAATAGGACCCGACTTAAAACTCAAATTCAACATAAAAAATCAGCTAACTTTCGTCTACGAGCTGGCTCGGATTTGAGGTTCGAAAGTTCTTGATGGTCAATCTTCGAGCTGGCTATAAATTTAACTACAACACGAAATCCAAGTTTATTACAATTGAAATTCAGCTGTTATTATATATTTAATTTCTTTTTTTTAGCTTTCAGCTGACAAGACCTTTTAATGGGTATGGTTCTAGTACAGCTAAATATTTTTAGCCAAGTAACGGCAATGACATACGAGCAGCTCATTATTTATTAACTCTATATTTATAATAGCAAACTAATGAAAATATGTTGCACAAAAGGCAATAGGTATGTTATTGGGCAAAACATGAAATGTACAATTAAAACCAAATTTGTTGATTCATATGTGTTGTAACAACCATTCTAACACTATCGGAATTTTTTCTATATAAACAAAGAAGGCCCAAAGCGTGCATTATTCTGCAACAATGCACTCGCCGTTCTTATTATCTCCCTGTGTATTTTCACATTGAGGGCGCCATTTTGTTTGAAAGATCTGATAAATAAAAAACATTTTTTGTCGAATTTTGTTGTGAAAACCATCTAGAATGAAAGAAAATGGTCTAACTAAGAAAATTAATCCGAACACCAATATCTTTAATTCAGTCGTTAACGCTGTACAGACGTTTAAAGTGTTGTTTACATGACGTCACAATGTAGGGCCAAACAGCACGTGCAAAACAATCAAACCAAGTACGCTATTTAATGTCGCAAACGAGTTAAGTTTTACAATTATTTCACTTTTATTAATTTGTATTTCGCTTGAAAAATCGTAGAGTGAAATAAAATAAACAAACAAAGTTTTATCAACGTTTTCAAAATTCGTTATTCTCAAAATGTTTCCACACACGGTAGATTAAACGACAGTTTTTTCCCAACCCACTGGAACAGCCTTTAAAGAACGTTTCTAATGGAAACTCTTAGGCGAAAACAAATTAAACCACCAAACATAAAGTCCAATTTATAATGATAATTATATTTTTATTGACGTGTTAGAATGGAAATAGATATAAATTCTTCGTGCATTATTTATAATAATGCACTTTTTTCGTTCAAATGCTTTGTAATTAATCACTCAGGCCTATCGGCCTTCGTGATTATATTACTACGCATTTGAACTCAAACCGTGCATTATTCTACAACAATGCACTCAGAATTGATATCTATTTCGTAAATATATCAAAAAAAATAAATTTAGAGCAAAATCAAACGAGTGTTGCTGAGCTCCTTGCCGATGGTCCTTTCCTGGGGGTCGCACATAGAATGCCGCCCTTCCTTGTTCATCTTGATTTTCCTAATGTCATATATGTGTTTGAAAAAGTCATGTTATAAATAGTACTTTCCGGACATTTACTAATCGAATATGAATTATGATACACACATCATGTAAAAAGAAATAGCTTTAAAGTCAAATGAGTTGAGTTCTGCATTTAATGTAAAAACTTTTTTTATGTCAAATAGCCATTTAGCAAAAATATCTCTTTGCCTCGCAAACTCAAAGGCCTTGTGACGATGAAAGTTTAACTGACGAAAATCTGGAGCGATGTTTTTTACACAAACTTCCTGTGTACTAGTTTGGTTTTCACCTGATGTCAAAATCTAAAGTCAACTAATCACCTGATGGAGTTATCCTACAAATAAACTTGAAATGTGACTATTACAGTGATTATGTTAAACTTGATGAAGTCCTTTTATCAAATACATAAGTATTATAAACTGGGACTTTGAGATTTACATGATGAGCTTGACTTGTAACTTTGATTTAGTGATAAAAGTGTTCCGTTTATATGTTTATTTAGTTTACAACGCTCATTATCATAACATACATGTATATGTACATTCACATAACGATCACGATTGGAATGCACTTGTCTTATTTGTTTTAACAAAATAGTAATGCTTTTATGTTGTTTGAATGCTCTATAATTGCTGTTTGAACACATCTATAGATGTTCACAGTTTGAAGGCTTACGTATTTGCAGGTGTACGTTAGGGGTACTTGGTTTTTACCACTGTCGTCCTTAAACAATCAAACTGAGGCTGCAATATTTTCATTCTTTCACTTTTTGTTTCATTTCCATTATATTAATATTCATATAGTATATAAACAAAAAAATGAAAAACTGATAATATGTTCATAACATGTTGATGTTTCTTTAAAATTTAGTTTGAAAAATATAATTTAATTTGATGGTGACTTGAAAATAAAAAGAAATAATTTGGATGAAAGTTATTTTCTCTAAATCATGTATGAAATACAAACAATAATTCAATATTATACGATTTATAACGACTTAATTGTATACGTTGTAGATATGACAATAATGATAAGTTGATGTGACATATACTAAATAGTCAATGTTTTCATTTGTCTGTTTTTCGTTCGTTTCTTAAGTTTCTTTCCTTGGATGACGTCATGTTATCAGTAGAGGAAGTCAACGTTATATAGTGCAGAAACATAATCAGATATTTGAAGTAAACGTAATTTAGTCGAGTCTTTAAAAAGTAAAAACTGCCTTAAATTAACTGCCCAATTACTTTTATACATTAAGCATTACCCATACATACCCAAGGATATTTTTAGGATTTTTTATCAAGTCACTTGGGTTATTGGTTATATATTAGTACAAGTAGAATTCAAAATTGAAAACAAATATGTCAAAATATGAACTTGTTTTTTATTTTACACATTGATCCACAAAATGAATTTCAATTTAACAAAAACCACAAAACATACAGATTTTACTTTCTATTACCAGAGTTAACTCTTTGTACAGAAGAGTTTTGTTTGTAATTAGTTTTGCCACAACTACAACAACATCATTGACCATTATTATGTTCTATTTTAACATCTTAACAAACTGGCAGGAAACACAATTGTCTGGCATTGGTAAAGGATAATAACGTTATTTGCGGTATATGCTATAGAATTTTTCAATCTCAAGGGTTTACAGAGATTGTTTTCTGTGCTGTAACATCTTATGAACAAGATAATGTTTAATCATTAAAAAAGTATTTCTGTGTTTTAAGATCTAGTGGAATAGAAATCTAAAAAAAGATGTCCAAAAGATGTCCATTAAATCATATTCCTATCTCAGCATGTTAATAATTTGCTAGTTTAAAAAAAAGGAGCTGGCAATTTTCAATTTTCACTGGCATTTTGCTAGTTTGCCTGTGTTAAATTTGAAGCCTTATTTTTGAAAGATTTGTCTTTCCATTTGTGAATGATTATATGCTGGTGTTTTTTCCGATGAAAACTTATTTTGGTGTCTAATATATGCATAGTAAGTTCTTTTTTCGGGTTCCTGTTAATATCTCAAATAACTATTGGGGCTTGGTATGGTAAAGTTCAAAAGGCACTTTTTGATCTTAAGGTGTCATTGTCAAAGAAGATGTACATCCTAAGTGTACAATCAGATAAATAAAACTATTTAAAAACATGATCTTTATAAGCATTTTATTATCAAACATAAACATATAAAATCCATTTGTCGGTATATTTTTACCCCTTTTCAGGGGATTATGGTCCTATGATAAAAATGAATTTTCTAGCTTGTTGACTTTACACTTGCTATAAAAAACAGTTTATTATGGTGTGGTCGTAAATATTACAGTCTTGACATAGTGAAGAAATTGTCATGACTTATGAGTAAATGAGTATATGAGAAATATGAGCAACAATATATTGCATTGATACTATAGTTAGTAATTAACAGCCTGCGTGATTTGTATTTCAGGGTTATAAAACTCATCTGATGAATCATCTAAAGGATTATCACATTAAAAACACAATATTGTACATTTCCTCACATTTGCTGACGAGTTTGCCATCGGGTATTTCAAAAAAAGGTTCTCTTGCTTGATGATATATTTCGCTTGAATGGGATATTTGAAATAACTGGTAATTGCCGTTCTTTCTCACTAGTTAACAGTTAAGACTATTTGCCACAACAGATTCTGCCCATATTACCAGTGCAAACCTTAATTAGCTGGCACACCTCTTATGGAGGAATTAGTAATTACTGGTATGTTATCTAGGAAAACCAGTTAGGTGGACTGACTGCCAAGATATGACCAAAAATGTGTTGAAATTGAGGTAAATAAAACAAACTAAATATAAAATATGATACACAAGATCAACAAGGTAATGCGTCATTCAATGAACCCCAATAAAACCCCTGATATTGAATTCCGCACCCAAAACTAGACAAATCCTATAACATACATGTAGATGTTCGGGTTAAATTCTATAGATGAAGAAGAATTGAGTTACAAGTGTTTTAAATGTAAAAGGTTGATATATTAATATATACAGTAACCAAACTATAGTCACTTACATGTATTTATTTTTTCTTTGACAGGGTTTCTCCAAGGACATTAAGCTACCAAAGTCAGCTTATCTAGGATATATCAAGGATTATGAAGGGGCAACACTTATGGGATGTGAACTTAACCCTAGAATCTGCTGTACCGAGTTCTCTAAGACAATACGCAAACAGAAAGAGGTGAGATTGCCAGTAATTTAAGTAAATTGTAAATTCATGTTACAAAATATGTCTATTTTTCAGATGTATCGTTCAGGTTTGTTTTCCTATTTTGACAACTGTTATTGAGTTATATTGTCAATTCAATTACATGGCGAAAATAACCAAACTGAAAATTACTATCAGTCATTTTTTATCATCTTAACTGCACAGCAAACTGTATTTTTGCATGAAGAATTTTAAAATGTGCTTGTTAGTAAAATATAAAATGAGTTGATTGATCCAAAAATTAGATTTTTGCTTTATTTGATACATGTATAGTTAAACTTCGTTCCTTCGAACTCGGATCGCTGGAATACATCCCTTCGCTCGCACTCATCGCCCAGTCATGGCAAAATTCCTATATAATATATATTGTTCTACCTCGGATCGCTCGAACACCCATTGCTCGAACTCTCAAACCTGATCTCTGGTCCCTTCGGCAGAAATATAGTGTAAATCACACCTTTTCGGTTGAACACAAACAGACAACAAGAGTTGCGGGTCAGCATGTTCTAAATAATTGACAGTCGGCGACACATGTTTTAACACTTCGTGATCGTGACAAAGGCAATTATAAGTTAATTGATATAAAATGAAAAGTGTTGTAACCGATTTGTTTGTTTTGATAACATTTTATATTTGCCGTCTTTAGTAGCGATAAAAAGAAAATAACTCCTGAAATGATCAAGTCAATAAATAAATGACGTTTACCCGGACGGCTTTAATTACAACCGTGGTTTATGTATCGTGAATTGTAACAGTGCACTCTATTTATAGAATGATACTTGTACGTGTGTTTAATTCAGTAAATGACTACAGATAGATGCTGCTGTAAAATGTTGTTTTTTTTTAAAATATTTTATTAATTCATTATTAAAAAAAATTCATACGAAAATAAACATATAAATATATTTTTAACATTGTTCACAGTTTGGATAATGATCGCCCAATCGAACTCAACCAATTCCAATATGCATGAATATAGATTAACACGTGTACAGTCAATACTGTTTTAAACGTCCGTTTTCAAAAGGATAATAATTCTAAATATGACGTATTCTACAAATAGATGTACTAACAAACAATTATATTGACGTATTTATCATTTGACTGATGTAAAACCTTAAGGACTATGTTCTATGTTATAATAGTTCAACCTCGGTTGGCTCGAACTACCGATCTCTCGAACAAATTTGCACAGGCCCTCCGAGTTCAAGGGAACGAAGTTCAACTGTATATATAATACAGTTAAAAAACTTTTCACATTTCCCCCCCCCCCAAAAAAAAAAAAAACTACAAAAAATCCTGATTCTGAGAAAGAAAAAACAACTATTGAAAAAAGATTGTATGACGATGTTTAATAAGCAACTTTTTACCTTTGTGAGAAACAAGGGGCAACTAATATCTTAATTTGCTAGAATTAAAAAAATGATCTGATTCACTTAATCTTGCATCCATCTAACCAATGTAAGTGATAAGATCTTGATTAACTTTGTCCGTTTTAGATTGTAAAGAAAATAATAGAACAAAAGCAAGAAAAGTTCACGAAGGTGTATCCAGATTTGACGTGTTTTAAAGACGGAGTACGACATATTCCTATCGAGAGTATTCCAGGTCTTCAAGACTGTGGCTGGAGACCTGCACCTGATAAACCGTATGTATTATTTGTTAAGTGCAACTTTCTGTGTTTGACACGAAAAAGACATTTTATTTCTTAATTGAAGAGGTTTATTATGAAGTACGCATGTATTAGTCACAAAGATTTTGAGAAATTATAAAGTTATGGCTGATGCATGCATGGGTAAAAGTTTTTAGGTATTTTTCTGAATTTGAGTTTTTTTAATACTGAACTCTGAAAAGATTTAAATCAATGAATTTAGAAGTACCAAATGCAAAATATTTTTGACATTTATAACTTCTTCCTATGTGTATGAGGTGGTGTATCATAAAATTAACCTGTTGTAACGTTGTTGACAGATGGTGATATTATAATGCCATGTTGTGCATTTTTTCTAGGAAGGAACCTGTTAATGGACTCTGATCAGCTCTACAACATCTTTAAAACAATATTACAGCACTGCAAGGTAAAAATATGATTTAAAAGTAATAAAACTATTTGAATGCATCTTTGTTGTTATAATAGGACCTTGAAACATTCTTTTAAACTGTATCACTTTTTGCATGTCTTTAGGTATGCAATTTGATTTTCTGATAACTCCCGAGATATTGAAATTACCCATACTTATTATCAGAGTTCTTTCCCTTCAAATTGTTATATATAAGTAGTTTGCATTAAAAGTGTTTGTCAAGTTTGAAGAGAAATTCTCAATAAAATTCACACAGAAAACATTTGATTCAAATGACTGTTGCCAAAGTAGACTGACATTGTAATAGAAAAAACAACTTCCCTTTGTTTTACAGACTCATGCTAGTGCTTGGCCTTTTCTGAAACCAGTGGAGAAAGCTGAAGCCCCTGATTATTATGATTACATCAAGTTTCCTATGGGTAAATGACATATTTAATGTCTTTGTTATCTTTTCTTGTGCTTTTCCCATTGCTACATTTATGAAGTTAACTTTTCTTGCTTTAAATTCAGAATATTTTAATATTTTGTAACATTTAGGGGTTTCTGTTATAAAGTTTTATCATGAATGCTCACTTGACTTATGAAGTGTTTTTACTCAGGTGCCTGAAAAATTGCACGAAAGGGCACCTGTTGTTTTCCTTTATCAATGTTGTCATATGACCTTTACATTGTCAGTGTGATTTAAAACACAACCAAAATTAAATGATCGATCATTAATATTTTCAGAACATATTTTTCAACCCTATTTTAAAGGACAACTTTTGCATTACAAATGTAAAATGTAGAACTTTAAAAAAAATATTTTTTGTAGATTTTATGTATGTATTGATTTTAAATCAATAACAAATTCTATTTATAGATCTTAGAACAATGGGAGATCGTTTAAAGAACAGATATTACGTTCACAAGAAATTGTTCATGGCCGACATGATGAGAATCTTCACAAATTGTCGTTCTTATAACAAACCTGATACAGAGTATTATAAATGTGCCAACACCATGGAGAGATTCTTCAACAATAAACTCAAAGAATTTTCTCTGATTGAAAGATGATAGATCATTATGTTTCCTTAAATATATGTTGTTATCAAAAGCTTTTGGTGTAAGGTAATTTCAAAGGTCGTCAAGCTTGAAATTGGACTAGACTTAAAATGAGTCAATTTGAGAATAATCACGAGTTCAAAAAAAAAAAAGATCTTAACTCGATCTATAATCTATGTTAAATTGAACATACAGGACAGTAATTTCATTAAAGTTACTTAGTCATATTTAAGTTATTTGTTTTAGATAAAAAATATTTTGAACCTTTATCAAAAAAGATACATGTTTGAAAATGTCTCTTGACTTTGATATGTGTTAAGTTTGATGGAGGATGCAAGTTTAAAAAAGTTCAACTATAAAGATATAAAAGTTTAATTTGAAATTACATCTACTTAAATAACACTGACGTTAATGACTGATGCTTTACACCTTTGATTTTAGTCAAATATTAATTATCTGTTGATGATTCAAGCTGAAACTTCAGAAGTGTTGATGTTGAGAAGAAAAGTGGAAGTGATTGAAATTGAGACAGTTGAGTGTGAAAAATATATGCACACGTCTCCAGAAAGAAAAAGGAGGGAGAAAAGTATGATAGCTTTTTCGATAAGGGTATTTATTTGGGTACATCTAAATGCTGTAAAAATGATTGTAATTACAATGTATATTCAGTAGTCGAAGATACAGAAAAAGAATGCGTAGGGTTTATCTAATGAGACACTTTTCTACACAACTTTAAATTTGGTGATAAAAATGTAAAATGGAAGTGTACTGTTTCCTTTGTTAAAGTTTATTATTCATGACTTCTACAAGATGTTATGCATTTTAAATATAATTTGAACTATGATATTAATGTAAATATATTTATTTTTTATCATTTTAATTATCTTTTAAAAAAGCCTGTCTCTGAAAGAAAAGCAAAAATATATACATTTAATGTAGAGAGGAATGCGGGAAATATTTGTGTTATAAATATTGTACTGATATCAAAGTAAATTGATTATCAGTGAATTAAACATAATGACAAAATGCTAGTTTTTGAACTTACTATGTACCAGTTTGTACTGAAAGTGACAAGTCTTTGCCACTAGTATAGAGCAAAGCATGTACATCTTTGCAGTCTGACAGGCTTTGTTTAACTGATAGCTTAATAGCTTAACATATTTTGTTTTGTATATTTTTGTTTTGAAATCAATTGACAGTTTTAAATACAAAGCAAGATAAGTAAAATATATAAATTCGGCATGTTATGGGTTAAAGATAAAAAGGAAAAGGAATCATTTGTAAGATGATGAATGCAAATTAAATTAATATTTACAAAGCATTTATACTTTCTGAACCAATAGTCAATTTTATTAGTAAATAAAGATTAATTTTAAGAAATGAACATATTCAAATTGTTTAAAAACAAAATGTATGTATGAAACTATTACTAAGGAAATACATTAGTACAAGACAATATCAAGAATTTCATTCATGCAAATTCATAAAAGAAACATGGAAATTTCTTATTTATAGATATATGTATTTTTTACATTTTTACTGGAAAAAAACTTCACAACTATAAAACAGTCTTTTAGTTTGTTAAAATATATTTTACCCTTTTTATTGTGTGTTCTCGTATATGAATGTGACAAAAATAAAGAATAAACTTTTTACTTTTGTTACGCTAACGAAACTAAAGATTTATGTTTTGACTATATAAGACCACTTAAAACTTCACAGACGTCTACAGTGTTACAGTTGAAGGTCACTGACCCAAGATCAATGACGTGCGATTTTACTGATTATTCCCCTTTCTTAAATAAGACTTGCAACAGGGACACATTCCAAAATAGTTTTACCTCAACTAAGTATGCGAGGATATATAGGGCTATCCTACTTACTCAAGCCTCGGTGTAACACTTTGGTTAAAGTTTTGCATGCAACATATTTCATTAACCACTTATAATATTTGAGAGCATAATAGGTATACATAATTTTGACAGAATTATGCCCCCTTTTAACTTGAAAAATTAAGGGTTTCCAAGGCCCATTATTCTGACATTGATTTTGAGTGAACTGGGGAAGTCAAAATAAGTTAATATTTTGCAATACTTCTTTCAACTTTTATGTTTTATTTGCATGAACGATAAATAACTAATGTGGCCAAAGGACATTTCTGCAAAATTTCATGGGACTTTACCTGAAATGTTTACTTGTTCAAACGAGTGGGCAGTATTTTTTATACTTTTGGCAGATTTATATTTTAACTTAATTATGTTAAATCAACTCTTGGTTATCACCAATATAACAGTCAATCTTTGAAATATAAAGTCTAATCAGCTTAACTTGACAATGACAAAAATTATCACATTGTCACTTTAAAGATATACTTTGCTCATCTTTGCGTAAAATAGTTTTTATCACAGAAATTACCGCCTCCGTGGTCGAGGGGTTAGAGTCGATGACTTCTAATCCAGTTACCTCTCTGGCGTGGGTTCGATCCCCGGGAGATGCTTTGGTAGTTTAGCGCGGAGGAAGGTAGTCTAGTACTGGTGTAACTCTCCAGGAACGATGGTTAGGAAACTACCCGCCTATATGACTGAAATACTGTTGGAAAAGGCGTAAAATGAAACAAACAAACAAACAATCACAGAAATTTATTGAAAGCTATGGAATTCTTACCAAATATGTCCAATTTGAATAAAAGAAAGAATACATTATGAATTGAAAGTTGCTTTCCCTATTACAGGTCATGTAAAATTGGTATTTTCTTCAAACTGCCAGTTTTTTTAATGACACTATATTTTCATATTGCAACCACATATAGTATGTAGAATTTTAAACATAACATGTCTACTTTGTGTGAAGTTTAAACACGTTTATTTTATATTTACAAAAAGACTGTGTGTGTAGCAATTATAAATATTTTTAAATATGAAATTTGAGCATAGTATATCTTTAAACTGTTTAATATTAAATATTCAAAGATGCCCAGTGGTAGAATACAAATACGGTACTTTGAGAACTTGCTGTTCATGATATGTCGGATAAATTTTAAATTTCATGGCACCTTAATATGTCTACATAGAGTATTGAAACAATTTTATGCTTAAGGTTGATAGAGTTAGTATTTTATTGCCTTATTTAGCGTTTCTGAATTTTCTACTTTTCAAAAAAATAAAGAATTTATCCCACAGACCACATGATCGTTCATGCACGTTTTTTTCGTAGCACTGGCAATTAGTGATATTGCAAAAGTTACCTTTTTGTATACATTGATTATCAATAATGTTTCGTTTTACAGTCGTGCAGAATGTAATTTTCCAAAGAAATGAGATATTTCTTTACAATAAATTATACAATGTATTGCTTTTATAAGTGTATATGAATAATTCCATCGACCCTGACATGGTCATCAGAGCTGCATCAGTACTAAGGGTGTAGTACTTAAGTACCAGTACCAGTACTTGGCAAATTATGCAGTACCATTACCAGTACCAGTACTAGATTTTAGCTCGGTACTGCTGTACCAGTACTTTTTTTG